GATGATCTGTAAAATACTTACACTTGGAACCCTATAACACAGGAGGATGCTGTAGAAGCCCTGAAGAGAAAACCCTTTACTGTCAAGCGCTCACTTTTCTGTTGTAAGAAAGACTTGTAAGAGACAAACACTAAGTGCTAAGTTGGGATGCATTCACAGCTTCACTGATGTATGAAGTTATAATTTTGCATTCATTTTTGGAGCGTTAAGTGTGCCAAGATTAATCAAAAACCATCTCTCTCCTCCCATCCTGCCCATTTGACAGCTTTAAATTTGTGTTGCCTAGCCTGGGATGTTTCCACCAGCGTGTGCCAGCACTTATTCCACATGCTACTTCTTAAAAGGCTTTGGGGGTCTTAGAGACTCATGAATATTGTAAAAGAATTGTTTTGAGCACTGTTGTTTCTATTTTGAATGAGCTACAGGAGTCATGTAAAACTCTTTTTTTTTCTGTGATCATTTTCATTAAAAACTTGTAATTGAGGGTTGTTGAAAAAATAATGCTCTGGCATCTCTGGGATGATAATCTAAGGAGATGAATGTGGAGTCAGACAGGCCTTAAATTTCCTGTAGCTGTGTTTTTGTAAGAGATGCAGCCTGCAGATATTTAAAGTGTCACTTCAGTGGTTGTTCAGTGACCATTTAATGTTGTCAGTTGCTGATAGAAGTTTGACAAGTTTAGAGACTTTGTAGAAAACTACAAACCATTAATCGAGGTAATGTCTTGTGTCCATAAGCAAGTAAGAAAACGGCACGGCATCACCCAAGAACCAACTTACTGTTCCTTTCTGGACCAAAGCTACTTTTGTTTTTTTTTATGATGCTGTGCCCTCAGGCTTTTTTTTTGTTTTAACACTTAAGGACCCTATGAGTCTAAGGTTTATAACATGTTGGACTTGAGTGAGGTATAAAAGTAACAAGCGTCTACAGCTGTGCTAGCGGCTCTGTGATGCAGACAGTGTTGTGAGCTAAATGCTAATATGCTGATGCAAAGCCAGGCATGATGCTCATCATTTTCACCCTCTTAGTTTAGCATGTTATCATGCTAATTGGCTAATATGCACAGAATGTACAGCTGATTAGTTTTGCCATAATCCCAAGTACTGGGAAATTTCCAGTTTTGTTACCTGATGATGGCTCTAGATGAAAAACTAAGTGATTACCATAGTTAATACAATTCATCCTGAAGGGTATATGAATGTCTAAACTAAATGTCAGCATAATCCATATGATAGTTGTCAAGACATTTCAAAACCAGTGTGAACCTTATTTTGGCCCAACAGAAAAAGTCATTGGATTCTTATTCTGGGCTACCTAAATTTTCAGGGCAGGTAGGTGTTGAGTTATTTTAGTTTAGACTGATAGAAAAACCAACAAGCCTACTCTGCTATCCCTAGTGCTAGACCACAAATGTGGCTATTGTCACTTTTACTTACTCACAAGCATAGGAGTAGAAGCAGTTTATTAAATTTCTTATGACTTCAAATTGCTCTCGAATTTAAGAGCAGCCCAGAGGCCTCTGAGGTTGGTTAAGACCAAATCCTAGATCTCATTCTTGAGAACTACTCTTAAAGGTTAATTTTACACTTGTGAATTCCTTGATAAATGTCTCTTCATTTTCACAGAAGAATTTTTTTTTTAGGTCTTGGGAGACTTCTTAGAAGTTTGATAAACACACGCTCAGTTTTGTAACCTGCTGCATGACCCTTTAAGGTGTTTGTTGTTTCTTTTACACTCACACTCTTACTTTAAGAAACATGTAGGAAACATGTAGGAAACTAGGAAACTCTAGGAAACTCTACCATACAAATGGGCTGCACTTCACTTCCTG